CACTTATTACTTAAACCTATTTCAATGCCTTTTAAATACTTTAAAGCTATACAATTGTTTTGATTAGTTGTTATATTTGGCACTTATTTGGCTATTTTTAACATCTAGTTATAATTCGTTGCTTTTTTGTGTGGGTTTTAGTGATAGAGAGGATTGTGTAACACATGTTTACATGAATTGGGACTTTATTTGCAAGGATTGCCAAATGAGATGTTTATAATTGGATTTAATTGTTTTAGACATATATCACAATCCCATGCATACGCTTACACTGTAAACAAGTTGTTTCAATGTTTTGATTGTTAATTGATATATAATTAAATACTAACTGTGTTTATTGTTTGACAGGTTTTAACCATTTCATTAATTGATGAGTTGTCGCCATTTCAAACGGGACCGGACTATACGGGCAATGGAGACACATTAGATACCCGTAAGCTATGCTCTAACCGGTCGTCTATACAAGAGTTAGAATTACTAATGAAAACGAGTCCAGAGACGAGAATTTAGTTCGCACAATAATGTTAACGATAATTATATGCGATATGAGTTTGGCATAAGTTCTGCGCCGGAGATTATGAGCACTTTGCCCACTCTTTTGCCAACACTGGCCGGTATTGCCGACGAGTTTTGCGGTGCGGAAGACATGTCTGTTCTCCAAATCAATATCACCGCAACCGATGATCATTATAATCATAATTCAAAACTTACCCTTAATTTGCTACCAATTTTACCAAATTTTAATAACTACAACATTAATAATAAACTATCAAGTGTCAAACAAGCTCCGTTACAATCACTACTACCACCTCCTCCTCCTCCACCCCCACCAATACATTCCCTAACAAACCACACTTTTAATACATCCGCTCCACCACCACCACCGCCCCCTCCTCTTCCTCGAGAGAAAGTGACTGATTCTTATGAAAATAGTGTTAAGCCATTACCAATACAACAAACACATACGCGTGCAGACAATGGTGCAGACAATGGGAGGGCCAGTCTATTGGAATCGATTCGTTCGGCCGCCGGTCGACCCAAACAAAGACAGACAATGAAAGAGAAAAAAGTTGACAAAAAGAAATTGAAGAAAGAGAGTGAAGACATGTCTGGCGTGAGTGACGGCAAGTTTTCCAATAGTGGCGCTGATCTTATGGGAGATCTTATGAGACGATTAGCTTTCAGACGCGATGGCATTAGAGGTGATTCACAGCGGACTCACGTAAAGCCAACACCTCAACCCATGAGTGCAATGGAGAGATTGTCAACATTGGTTCCGCTGCCACCGCTTCCTCTAGAATCTGATTCTGATAATAATGAGTCGGACGGCGAGGGTTGGATTGATTGATACCGTTATATAGAAATTAAATACTATATTTATTCAATTAAATAATTTTTATTATTTTTTCCTTAAGACAAAATATAATATACACATAAATATATATTTATACTGGACTTAATTCTTATGCAGAATTTTTACAGATATTAAAAATTGAAGCAAAAAAATCACACATTTATTTCAAAATATATTATAAAAATAAAAATATTTGAATTAAAACAATTTAACACACAATTAATGATTAATATTATAATTAAAAATGATTTGCAAATGCACTGTCATCGGCGCCATTCATTCTCTTTGCCGGCAACGCTATGGCTAAAAGTGCTATAAAATTAAACAATAAAATAACAAATAATTATCAATATATTGTATAAAAACTTTGTTAACAAGAGATTCATATGACTTACACAATTGGTTCGGGCCCTTTAGGACAGGGCAAGTGATGGTGAGAGTCGTGAATAGTAGGAATAGGGATGGGGAACGGCATTGGCATCGGTAGCATTCGGTGGCCAAACATTAGTATACCTCCTTTCTGTAGCAAATATACATGATGTAAAATTACATTTTTTGATAAACCAATAGATAAATAAAGTGCTTTTCATGGACTTTTTAATTTATTCATGTGGCAATCTATCTAGATTTTTAAAAAAAATAAATCTAGATTCTTTAAAGATCTAGAATCTAGATTCTAGATTGTCTACTAGCTTACAATTGTTAGAGTTGTTTGCTAACAAGTAAGTAAATACAAACTTACCTTGAAAAATTTCTTTAAACCTTTGCCGCCGGCATCCGTGAATACAGTTAGTATAGAGACCACTAATAACATTGTCGTAATAAATCGTGTATTAAACTTCATTTTACAATGTTTTGGACGAAGTTTATACTCAACGAGGTTTACAAGTGATATGACAATTGATATCACAATTGAAACCAATATTTATAGGTTTTCCGTACGAATAGTATTGAGGAACACAACGAGTAGTTATTTATTTTCAGTGTCTTAATCAGTATTAAGTATTTTGAGTAACTTTTATTGTCGATGAATTAAATTGATAGTTAATTATGGGATAAAATTGATAAACAATTAGTGCTCTGAAAGCAGTAGCAGAGGTTCGGGGGTTAGGATTGAGAAAAAGGGACCGCATATCATAATTTATGATTCATAAATTAACTAATATTTTAATTTCTAAAACTTATTATATTATTAGTTTTATTATAAAATACAAATTATGATTAGAACGCTGGTAAACTTGGTAACTTCGCTAACCCTAAGAATTGATCCCTTGAGCACATCTGGTAGTGAGTGAAAGCAATATTGTATTTAATGTTGAATTTGGGCACTATTTTTGCAAGACATTAATTGATTTGTAAACTATCTGTTTGTTTCATTGCTGGTGTACTACTGTTGGTGTAATAATCGGTCGACTGGACAGGTATACCGGTTGACTAACCTCTCCTCTCACAACAAGCAATTAATATCATAATCGATGACAGAAATGAAAACTCCCAGTCCTTTCACTTTAATGTTTTGTGCAATTTGTTTTTACTTATTTATAGTTTCAAAAACTGGATTCAAAAAATATTAAAAATAGCATTAAATCGCTATAAAGTTTTATCGATTTATAGTTTTGTAACTTATATTCACACATAAAAATAAATGCCCAATAAATACAATTCCTTATTAACACAGTTATTAATACCTATTGTTTAAAGTTATAAAAAACAATGTTTAAATAGTTAAATCATTTGTGTGCTAAATTGTAAATTGCTAACCATATTAAGTACAATTCATGTTTTTTCAATAGGATTATAGACTATACTGTAGATTATAACATTGAACGAGAAGTTTTTAAATGATATTCCTATAGATAAAGCAATTTTAATATAAACTAAATATAAGTTCACGACAAATTAATGATAATATTCTGTATATTTATCAGAAGAGTGTTGACATGATTGTAGACATGTGTATAATGTTTACAAATTCAAAATATTTAGATTAAAGTTGTTATTAAATAAAATAGTCATCGTTAAATTATTTAAAATATTTCTTTTTATTAATTCATATCTTATGACAAATGGTTTTAAAATATAATAATGTTTTTAAAATGTACACAAAAATTGTCATCAAATGTATGCGAAAACATTATAGTCATCGTTAAATTATTTAAAATATTTCTTTTTATTAATTCATATCTTATGACAAATGGTTTTAAAATATAATAATGTTTTTAAAATGTACACAAAAATTGTCATCAAATGTATGCGAAAACATATTTACAAATTTGAAAAAACATTTCAATACAATTAAAAAAATATTCCGTTATTTTCAATACAATTTTAAGTTTTACAAAAAAACATTTTCTATACAAATATATATATATTTACTATAAAATGAGATTCATTTCCCGTATATTGAACGGGAGGGCCGGCAGGACAGGGAGGCTTATGATGTACTCCCTCTCCCATTGGAAACAAAGAGTTATTACACGTATTTGGCCTCAAAGATAATGTAATGATTGACACAAAAAATCTGTTTTAATTGTCTTTTCTTTGTAAAAACAATTCCTGTTTAACTATATTTCCTAAGCATTCAATCGGTTCTCAATTAATAATGATTGTTTGGACCGACAATGCATTCAATATAAAACACAAATTCTACTCTCAATTCAAAAAATAAATTAAGGGATAATTCAAATGCTATACAAAGCCTTCGCCGACACAACAAAAACATTTATATTACAATTCATTCAAATTCATTAAAAAACTAAATTAAAAAATAAAAACATCACTAATTTATTAATTAATTAATTTAATAACCACTAAATTCTCGTCTCTGGACTCGTTTTCATTAGTAATTCTAACTCTTGTATAGACGACCGGTTAGAGCATAGCTTACGGGTATCTAATGTGTCTCCATTGCCCGTATAGTCCGGTCCCGTTTGAAACGGCGACAACTCATCAATTAATGAAATGGTTAGAACCTGTCAAACAATAAACACAGTTAGCATTTAATTATATATCAATTAACAATCAAAACATTGAAACAACTTGTTTACAGTGTAAGCGTATGCATGGAATTGTGATATATGTTTAAAACAATTAAATCCAATTATAAACATCTCATTTGGCAATCCTTGCAAATAAAGTCCCAATTCATGTAAACATGTGTTACACAACCCTCTCTATCACTAAAACCCACACAAAAAGCAACGAATTATAACTAGATGTTAAAAATAGCCAAATAAGTGCCAAATATAACAACTAATCAAAACAATTGTATAGCTTTAAAGTATTTAAAAGGCATTGAAATAGGTTTAAGTAATAAGTGGTTTATACTATTCCCACGCCGTACTCATGCCTTACAAACAACATGTCATCCCTGACATAACCATACGCTTACAGTATAGACAATACAGTTATCAAATAAGAAAAAAGTTATGCAATAATTACCTGAGTTTGGCATAAAAAGGCCAACAAAATGGAAATGAATAGCATTAGAAACCCGGTTATGATTCCCATTATAATTATGTATTTAATGACAATTATTGGTGTGAATAGTCTTGACTTAAGTTCTGCAGCGAAATCGTCAGAAATACCCAATTTCTGTACACATAATGCAAATGAAAGCAAAACAAACCATTAATTAAAACCCATTTCACATCCCAGGCCTTAAGGTCGGGCACCGGTTCACTACACATACCTTATAGCCCCAGAAGAGGGGAATGTAGAGATCATCGGCGAGATTCTCAAAACCTCTAATGTAGTCATTCTTAGGCACTCTTATGGCCATTTGTAGTTTGCTGTCCCCGTGAATGACTGCGCCTAATGTCTGTAAACATTGCCATCAAAATCATTAGTCAAAATACCCAAAAGTATATCAATGCAAATCACATACCGGTTCGACGTGAATGACTGGTCTATGAAGCTTCGGGTCTGGTTTGAGACCTTCGATGCGATCAGTGATGCGTTTATCGCCGCCCAAGAAGTGCGGGAGACTCACGATAATGGGTATGTCGTGCTGACAGGCGCTCATGTCGTACACGCCGTCCAGACGGCAGTGGTCTGTGTTGTCGTTGACACAGAAACACTCGTTATCGGGATTCGTGTCCGAACCGGCCATTACGCCGTCCGGCGCTGAGTATATATAAGTCTTGATGCCTTTGTGTACCGCCTCTTCTTGAAATGTGACGTAAAGTGAGCTATA